GGATACATGACTTTCTTTTTTTATTTTCTTCTATAAGCCGTATAAAAGTATACATGTGTATAGATTTTTATATATTTCTTATTAAAAAGTTAAATACTATGTAAATTTAAGTCAAACAATCTACTCTAAATGACAGAGGAGGGGAAAACCTATACAAATAACATATCTGCTAGATAAAGCAATACTGAAGAGAAAATTCTAGGTTTTAAATAAAAAAAGAAAAATACATTCCTCTGCACTGAGTTCAAGAACAGGCTTCTAGCAATCACTCCAACATGTATCAGCTTAAAAAATTCCAGTGCTGTAAATTGTCAGGAATTATCCACAGATAGAACTAAGTTCTCCCAAAGTTTTGTATCACCGACACAATTGTTTGGTTTCTTTTGTTTCAGTTGAATGCCCTTAATTACGTAGGCAATAGTCAGGTTACTTCCATTCTCCTTACCCTCTCCCCTTCTTTCTTAACATACAGCATAAATGTTTGTTGCTCACCTCTAAGGCACTTGAGTTTGAGATCAGCTGCATCCTTCAATTCACCCTGAGATAACTACACTAGGTAAACCAAATTTATCTCAAAGTCGTTATGAACTCTGTGATCTTAAAAGTCCCTTCTATCTCCCACCATTATTCCAACTACCTTTAATGAGGTACATCATTTGTCACCTAGTTGGAAATAGGTGGCAAAATTCAATACTGTCTTAAAATACTATGACTACAGGTACATATACTATTCAGTGAAAATACAAATAGACTAGGAGTGAAACCTACGTTCTCATCCATGTGTTCCAACACTACCTCGCTTTATTTATAAACGGTATTTTTGTCTCTCTGGAAATAATTTCTTCCTATTCAATGGGCATATTTCAATTAAATAAACTCTTAGTCTCTTCTACATCAATACAAACATTTACGGTGATTTTGAAATAAACTTTTTTCAGCAAATATATATTCTCCTTCTTGGGACAGAGTCTAGAATGCCTGAGAATGTGCTAGGAACACAGAATTACTGAGTAACTGAAAGTGGGAAAGAAAAGAGAAGGGCCACTGAGGAGGATGAAAAAGTCTGAGGACAAGTTTCATAATTTCACTTAGAAATGGCATTGTACCTTCCAGCAGCATGGGATAACACAAACTATGGATATATTACTATTTTGGTGGTATAATGAAAATGTTCTATTGCACAACATTAGTGTTTCACATCATTTGTATTTTTATATATGGTCAACTCTTCTATAAAGGTATTTTGTTCTCAACTTACACATTAATTTGAATATCATACTACGCCTAAATGTGGTCTGATTTGTTCTTTAAAGGAGATTTCAACCAAGGTAAGTGAAAAAAAGCAGAAGGAAAAAATAAAGATGCAGATGTCAACATAAGCAGTCCTCAAACAGGGAAGAGAACCAAGGAAGGAGGAAGGGAGGGAGTGTCCATAGTCATAGTCAAGAAAGAACTAAACAGCAGGCTAAGTAAGACATTGCAAACTTAGGGACAGGGGCATAAATTTTACCCTGTGAACAACCAAAAGCCATAAGAGATACTTAAAAGAGTGAGTCTTCTGAGACAGTATCTCTGAAGATTAACTGATGGCAGAGTACCTATGATATTTACAAAACAGAGCACAAAATTCTTCTGTAGGCTGTATTTCTTGACAAAATATTAATACAAAATTAGAGTAAAACTCACTTGAAATCATAAAATAAATTTCACAAAGGCCACAGTATCCTTGGAAAAATTAAGGGTAGGATATGACTTGCAAATTCCTTAGGGAAGTAAATAATCACCTAACTTTTTTTTTAAGCCTTCACACTACATGTGTATGTATACATTTTTCAAATAAAATTAACACTTGAAATTTTATTTATGGTCCTTAAGGCCACAGGATTTTAAAATATTTACTTAACCATTTAGGAAGCACTTAGCATTTTAGGTATAGAAAAATATCTCACACACTGAGTCACACCTTTCAAAACCTCACTTACCTATGTTATTTAGCTAGCCTATCACATACAAAATAATCTAGATGAAAAGCTGAAAACTACATTGTAGAATGTACAATTAAAATGGTATAGACATGTAGTTTGTTAAATTCTAGTCAAACTTCTATGTTGACAACAGATTTTAATAACTTCCTATTATTTTCATCTGACTCCTGATATACTACAAAATTAGTGACTCTTTCCATTCCACCAACACAGAGCATAGTCAACAGTAACTAGATTTAAAGTTTAAATCCTTTACAGTGTTTGTTAGGAGAAAAAAAAGAAGAAGAAGAACAGACATACATATCGCATTGACAGCAAATAGGATAAATCTAATCATGAAAATCAAGTATTTTACAAACATATGCCATTAATTTTCAACAGAGCCTAGTGTCTAACTCAAGTTAAGAATTACTTTAGGTGTTAATAAAAATGTTTAAATCCTTACAGAAAGTAAAGTGTAATAATTCTGTTATCAATCTCAAAATGAAAATTTCTCTCCACTTCAAAAATATAAAATATTTGCTTATCTTTTCCAGTTATGCACCTTAAAAAAAAATAAATGCTAGCAGTGTCAACATCACAGATAATAAATCTACATGAACTACTAACTTGTAATGTTTTATTTATACTTCACAAAAAAGTGTAAACAAACTAAAAGAAGTATATTCTAAAACTGGGAAGTATTACAGAATTCATCTACTGGAATACCCTGATTTGACACAACAGTGACACTCAGAAACACTGACTTTTCCAAAATTACAGTAAAACCAAGACTTCTACTCTTGAACTGTTGCTTATGAGCCCAGAGCATTTCCCCCTATATCAGGTTCTAAACAAAACCTGTTTGTGTTCCTTCACTTTCTGAAACAAGAAAGGGATTTTACAATGTGATAGACAAAATGCAGCACTTCAAAAGTTAGAAAAATCTCAATCTTTTACTTCTGTAAAAAGTGTACGAGTTCCCTCTCAATTTCTTTTAATATAAAATACATGCAAACAAAATCACAGATCCATGGTTAAACTTGAGGAACACTCATAAGCAGAAAGTCATCTTATAATCACTGTTCAATTAAAATATCTAGTTATTATCAGTAATACAAAAATAGTTCACTGCTACTGAACATTAAATAGCCATTCTAAAACCTTGAATTATTATATATTTAAGACAACCAAATGCTCCTATTCATAGTTGAATGTGAATAAGAGTTTTCTGCACTAAGAAAACATGCTCCCTTTAAAAGTACAAATTTCATTTTCTTCTAATACAACTAACAAAAGATAGCACAGCAACACTGCATCTAGTTAAAGGCTGAAAAAGGTTGCTGTGCTTGAAAGAGCATCACACTAGGATTAAGACCAGGAATTTTCAATTTATAAGACAACAGTCATAACCGACTACATCACCATTCAATTAGAATGTGTGAAACTATAATGCTGTTAAGTTCAGGAAAACTGTCCACAAAAGTGCTAAAACACTTTTCCAGCATAAAAAAAATGCAATTTATTCACACAGTCAATCATACAATACTATTCTAATCTATGAAAACAGCTGATAATACTTTGCTCCACAGTGAATCCACTCAAAGTCATCTTTCTCCCAATACACATTTTTCTAAGTACTGTCTATTATCAATAGCAGCAGACTGAGAAAACAAAAGACATCACTTTTGAACAGCCTTTCAAGCATGTGACCAGGTAACTACAGACCACAAAAGCAGCCTCTCAAAACACTTTTCAGGAAGCAGAGTGCTGTCTCACTGGAACACTATGCAGCAGTGTTAAGCACGTCATAAAAGCAATGTAGTAGCTTGTAGGTTATATTTAAAGAGAAGGCAAAATAAAGAAAAGCGCATCAGATATAAAAGAAACTTTTCTTCCAAATATATGGGGTCCCAGTGTAAAAACCATAGTGCTATTCACAAAGTTTGTACAGATGACGGCTCTTAAACAAAACCTTTCTAGCTGCTCAGAACACAGCACTGAAAACTGAAAATTCTCGGTTCAAATCCGCGCTTTGATTTACTAGATGTATGAAGTTGGGTAATTTCTATGAGTGACTCTTTGCTCATCTCTAAATTGAAGCTAATGTCCTACATCATACAGGGTTTCTGAAAGGACTGAAGACAATATATACAAAGTGTTTTGCACTGAGTAAATGTACAATGAATAGTAGTTACTGAGTCTGGTGATGTAGACAGTTAACATTTGCTAGGCTATATAAAGGTAGAAATTCATCCCCTGAGGATGATTTCAATTTCTTAAAAACAAAAACATATAAATCTACAGGGGAAAATGGAAATGCTTTTGGCAACTTTCCAAACATTACCAAGTTTAAAGGTTAAATTGTTACAACATTTCTCCTAATTATGCAACAAATACACAAGACTATGAGTTAGTCTGTAAAAGATTATATTAGCCTATATAGCTAAAATGGGGGTCAGTGGGGGAAGATGAGAGAGTGAGAAAAGGGAAACCTCTGAAAAATTACGTCCAAAAGTCTTTTCGTCTTAATTAGCAAGGCTCAATTCCAAACTGATCAATGTGAGATCTCAGAATTCTCCATTCAATTGCCAAAATAATGGAACCACACTGATTAAAATTAACACACACAGCCACTTGTTCTTATAACTGTATATTATCTTTGGGGAGCCATCAGCATTATAAAGGCAAAAGATAAGTGGCACCAAAAAGAAACCCACTAGACTAGCGAAGGTGGGAGCAGTTAATCTATCAATATTAAACCGCAAATTAAGTTCACACCCGCAGAAAGTCTTTTAAAGGTGCAATATGATTAACCTATTTCATTCCTATGATTAACCTACTCACTTCTATTGAAGATAAAGGGCACTCTCCACTTTTCTTTAAAAAGGGCTCCCTGTATTTCGGAGTTCTTTCCAGAATAAAACTTTTTTCACCCTGAAGTTAACATGCTTTCCAATACACCATTTCAACTGGGGGCTTGATGCCATTAACGCGCGCTCACTTTGCTACAAACCTTGCTTTCTGGTGACCTACCTGTTCTCTGGAAATGCAAGGCAGCGAAGGTCTCCTGAACATTTTGCAACTTCCAGTGTAACTGGCTGAAGTTTCTCCGAACGACACGCAGCTCGACCTCCTCCGGGGTCTGATCACAGGCACTTTTTCTTCCCCGGCAGTGGACAACCGAGGATGATGAGGAGCTTCCCTGATGTGAAACAAGTGATCCAACCCCAGGGCCAGCAGACAGCCAGCGCCCCCGGCCAGGCAGGAGAGCAGCGGCCGAAGGGCAGCAGGCAGCGACCCGAGGCTGGTGAAGGAGACCCACCAGACGAAGCTGGCAAAGAGCAGCACCACGAAGCTGTGCTGGACCCTCCCCGGCTGCGCGAGCGTCAGCAAGCCCACGAGGACCAGCACCAAGAACAACCTGCCCGCCACCGCCGGGGGCGAAGGGGGCGCGGGGTCCCCGGCGTCTCCGTTCCCCTCGGGCCAGGACCACCATGGCCACACCAACAAGTCCCCCAGGTAGCAGCAGGCGGGCAGCGCCAGGAGCCACCAGGAGTCGCCGCCGCCGCTCCGGCCCGGCCCGGGGCCCCGCTGGGTCCGGGTCAGGAAGCAGGTGAGGAAGAAGAAGGCACAGGCGATGCTGAACAGGGGGCTGAGGCAGAGCGAGCACACGCTCAGCAGGGTCCGCAGCCCCGCGGCCCGGGCAGCCCAGCTCTCCCGCCCCGAGGCGAGGAGCAGGGCGAGGACAAAGGCGGCCAGGGCGCCCAGCAAGAGGCGCGCCCGGGAAAAGGGGGAGCCGCGCCGCGGCTGCTGGGGGGAGGTCGGCGGCGGCAGCAACAGTTCCACGTTGCAGAAGCGGCAGAGGTGAAAGAAGAAGCCGCGCGGTGGGTCCTGCCGCAAGGGGCTCACGCAGCTCTTCACGTAGCCGTTCCGCAGACTCTCGGGGGGCGAGCCGGCCCCGTCCGGCGGCTGCGGGTACCGCATGGCTTTGGCGTCTCGCTCGCTCCTCATGGCCGGGACTCGGGGTGGCCGCGGGACACTGCTCGTCCCGCGCGGACCGCCGCGGCCGGACGCGCTCG